GATCAAGGGGACCCATTGCCGGATCATAGAGTCCATTAGGCACTGGTAGCTGTAATCCATCAAGCAAATTAGGGCTTGTGACTTTTACAACACTATGTCTACGAACTTCTTCATCTGTCATGAAACTGAAATGAACCGCTTCAACAGCCTCTGATGCACCCTGTAAGCAGTAATCTTTTTTGTTACATAACCACCAAAACAAAAACATCCAAAGGAACATGTAGCTCAAAAGTATTTTTCAGACAAAGCAGCCAGTGTTACAGATATTATCACCCTATTTGCACTTCGGAAATTAGTGGTACATCAGTCATAAGAAATTAGAGGCATGGATCATCCACATAACGCTAACATGTTGCAAGCAATGTGGCCTAGGGTCAACAAAAGTGGAATATACCATGAGAGACCAAGATTCATCTAAAAGAACAACAAAAACAACATACCCAGCGGGAACTGGGGAAGGTAGAGTGTATACAGACCTTATCCCTACCTCATGGAGGAAGAGAGGCTGTTCAAGTGCAGCAAATCAAAGTAGATTCAGCTCAAAACAACACTAGGTAATTTCTCAGTAACTAGGATAGGTGCAAGGTGGCAGGTACCTGGTGGAGGTAGCCAAAATTGGCCTCGACACAAAGTTATAAAGAACTAGAAACTAAAAAAACAAGTTGCAAACAGTAGCGGGAACATGTGGAAGCATACACCACACATCATAAACCATTAGCTCGACCGCAAAAGGGATAATAGTAGAAAACAAGCTCAACCAGAAAGTAAAACATAAAACAAGTTCAGATTTTGACAATCAAACTATAGAGAAACAGGGAGAATCAACAACTCTACATATTATTGAATTCATTGACGTATACCAAACATCAACAACAACAAAAACGAGAAAAAAATACTGAAAAATACAATTAAAAAAAAAAAAAAAAAAAACCTGATTCATCTTGAAGTTCCAGTTGGAAGAAAATTTGAATCTGAAGGTTCAATTTGGAGCTTAGAGAAGCTAAAGGGTGCTGTATATTTTGTGGCGGAAGGTTCGTTTGGAGGCTGGGGAAGAGAAAAGGTTTTGAAGAAATGGGTTTAAGACAGGGTTTAGTATAAAGTCCAAATAGCACTAGTAATATTTTATTTTTATTTTTTTGGACGCTTTAATATTAATAAAATGAAAATTCAATTTTTTTTTTCTTTTTCTATTTTAAATTTGTTTGAATTTCTCGAGGTTTGCTTCTTAACACTAATTTTTCATATGATTTATCATATTATGTCTTTCACTTTTGTGATATGGGGTTGTTTGGTAGCTGGATAAGAAATAAATTATTCGTGTATCAATTGTAGTATAATTTATAGAATGTTTGGTAGATGGATAGGAAATAAGTTATTTATGTATAAAATAAATACGATGTTCGGTTGGCAATTTAAAAATCTGCATAACTAATACGCATTACATCTTCTAATTATTGGATTAAATTTGTTGTATCTTTTTACTTGTTGAATTTAAAATATTTCTTAACGTATTAAAATTGTCTCAAAAACTTCATTCTTTCCACTATTTAGATCATCTTTGTTCTTAATATTATTCTCAAACTTTAAATTGTTCTTCTATTAACGATGTAACTATATAGTGTTTGATTAAATATACGACATTTCTTTATTGATCCACATAAATTTCTGAGTCAATCCAACATAAATTTGTTTTAATAATATAGCTAAAGAATAAAATCATTTTGAGGTTAACTAAATATGCATATCTATTAGCAAGATTGAAACTACTATCGTTATGAATTTATTTTTTATAAAATATTTTTCATTTTTTCCAAGACTATACAAATATAAATGGTGAATCTTAATGCAACTAGCTATATCCCTTTTATATAAAATTCAAAATAGTTATTCATGATTTTGATTCATCATAACTCAGGTTAACATCTTTCTTTGAGACTTCACAAATTTGCATCAATAACACTATTCTAATCTAAGCCTATTCTTTAAAAACCTATTTGATATCGTCACTTAATTTATATTCACCTTTTAAAATTTTCTATTTGTATATTTGTGCGGGACATGTAAACATATGATAGAAATTCATGTATTTCTATCAAAAGTTCAAACAAAAATTTAGCCTGAATTCCAGTTATATATGACAAAAGTTAAGCAAAAAATGACTGAACAATTGAATTTTAGTTCTTTATCTAAAGTTATTGGAAGTGTACATGTGTAATAGTTATTAAAAAGTGACCACAAATTAAAAGATAGCATCAAAATCGGAAATTTGTGTACTTGCCCGAAATAAACCACAAAAATTCTCTTCTTTCTTGAGCCCAAGCCCATTTAAAATCTTAAGGACTACCTTCATATTTTGGAAACTTACATAAATCTCAATGGTTTATGAGTTAATTATTTAGATACATTTTAATTTGTAATATTATGTATCTTATCAGATTTGGTGCCTCTAGATACATTCTCATACATGTATCTCATATATATTGGATCAAAATTAGGTGTAATTTGTTCTAGATACATTGTATCCAAATGGATTCGCATGTATCTGAAATACATAGTAGATATCACTCGCCTCCCTCACACCTCTACCATCTCGCTTGCTACTCTCCCACATGGTATCCCAGATACATATGAATCACTCCAAATACTCTCGCTCGCCTCTCACGCCCTTCTCCCATCTTTCTCGCCACTCTCCTATGTATCTGATATCTCAGATACATGTGAATCATTCCAGATACATGTATCTAGTGTGTATCTAGCATGTATCTGGATACATACGAATCTCGCTCGCCTCTCTCCCTATTTTGTGTATCTGGTAGCAAAATTACATGTACCCAAATGTAATATACATATAAAACTCTTAATTAGTGGTAAAATATGTAATAATTTTATTAAGTATAGATAGTAAAAATAATAATATATATATATATATATATATATACACGATAGTGAAAATATGTCTAATTATGGAGTTTTCCTTAAGAGATCAATTTACAAGTAGATCGATGGGCCTAAACATGGCCTGGCAAATTAACCAATTATCACAAAAGTGTAGGCCGTAAGGAGCCATTTTAAAACACTCAACATAAAATTTGTCATGAAGCGCAATTATGCAAATTATAACTATAACATACAAATATGATTTTTATGTTTGTTATATGTGAAAGTTGCTCAAATTTTAAACAGTCTACAAAATAATCATCAAGTTCATGGAGACAATGAATATTGGTCATATTTAACCCACTCCATAAAGATAATCTTTGTCTAGTACATGTTCCTTAAGTGGACACGATAAAGGATCTGGGTTTTTCGTAGTTCGATTATACATATCATTGATTTTCTTATTTGAGACATGTTAAGAATCTGATTCTTATACAATATTTACGGAAAAAATATTGAAAATGCGTTTAAATTATGTGAAATTGTCCTTATCTTTATGGTTTTGTCTGTGAAGGGATTGCATTAGGATTATTATTGGTTGGTCTTATAAATATTCTCATCTTGTGATTAGTAACATTCTTTTATTTGCCCAAAAAATTATTCTTTCACCTCTCTTTTCAATTACTAGTATAATAATTCTCATCCGCACAAGTATTTGATAACTTTGTTCATTATAACTTCAATAAATTAGAAGTCGACTAATCCTTTAAATGTGTACGAGATATCATAAGGATCCAATATCTTAATAACTCATTTGACTAAAATTTCGAATGAGACCTCATATTTGAATCACAAGAAATTTTTGACTAATAAATCATTCAAAACCTGATTGAGAAATTATAAACAATACAAGTTTGAAAGGTTGGTCGAAAAAAGGATCGCGCACCATCACCAACAACACTCATGTCGTACCTATTACAATAAAAATCAATATATCCGGTGAAATCTCATACAAGTGACATCTAGGGAGGAAGACATGTACGCAACTTATTCTTACTTTGTGAAAGTATAGGAACTGTTTCCGATAAATCCTTGACTCAAGTAATACATATCCAAATCAATAATCATATATAGAAAATAATGGAGAAGAAAATAGTAACAATAACTTAATTTTTTTTTCTTTTCTGTTTTTTTTTTTGTGTGATGAATAAGATAGGAGGAATACATAAAAGAAATAAAGTTTTTGTCTGGGTGGAATCAGAAAGATGGAATCAAATATCTATTTTAATCTCTTTTTTTCTCTTTAATAATCCAACTTTTTCTTTGAGTAATAAAAAAAAGGACAAAGTTATAGCAAAGATCACGTGCTTATCATAAAGTTGTTCCATTAAGAATACATCATCTTTTTAAAATTTATTTTTATTTCATGACAAAGACTTGGGCACTATGTAATTATGTATCATTGTTCTAAGTGCTTTCATAATAAAATATGACAACCTAATTTTCAACTATAAAAACATAAGTCGTTTGGATGACTCAGTTGGTTTGGAGGGTGGTTATCCACACGGATGATTCGGGATCGATTTCCCCCATCAATGCCTTCTGAGTCGAGCCTGTTGCATAGAACTTGTCTAGTGCGGTTTACATCCCCTGTGTGGTTTGCAGACTATTACACAGTGGGAGGTTTATCAAGTGTGCACAAAATGCTCACCCGAAAGGCAGAGGCTGTGGCAAAGCGTCTATGAGAAACAACTTCTTTACATTAGGGTAAGGAGGCCGCAATTGCAAACACACTACCCTCCCAGACCCGCTTATGGCCACAAAGCGTTTATGAGAAACAACCTCTTTACATTAGGGTAAGTAGGCTGCAATTGCAAACACACTACCCTCCCAAACCCGCTTATGGAATTATACTGGATATGTTGTTGTCACATCCTTCAAAAACTTCAAATTTCATATATATATATATAAAGTTCTAAGCTTTTTTATAGAACACATTTGAAAGTATTTGAATTTTACAATTCCATTACATTCCTTAAATCTAACATTTTGTCAAAGGCAGAGGATACTAGCACTCTAGCAGGCCATACTTACTGGTATTTGAAAGATTTATTGATATTTATTCACTCAATTTGTTAGAAAGTTACTCCATTTTGGTTATATATATTCAATGCTTAAGGATTTGAGTCTGTAAGATTGAATTTTTATGCAGAAATGGAAGCTGATATCAGTGAGAAGTTGTTGAGTGAAGTGCAAGCTGTGGAGGATGGTGAAAAGGAAGTGAATTTCAAGGAGAAGTTATGGAACGAGACGAAGAAGATGTGGGTGATTGCTGCTCCAGCCATGTTCACAAAGTTTTCGACGTTTGGAGTAACTGTTATTACTCACTCATTTGTTGGTCGTATTGGACCTAATGAACTTGCTGCTTATGCTTTAGTCAGTACTGTCCTCCTGAGATTTGGCAATGGCATTCTGGTACTTTTTCTGTTCTATCTCACTTATTTCTAAACAAGAATTGAAATGTATTTAACAATAGTAATCATGATTCATAGTAGTGGTTGTTTTAGTGATGATAAGATGCGGGAAGGGAGACTGAGATGGTTCTGACATGTTAAAGAGGAGATGTGTGGATGCCCCGGTCAGGTTGACCGTATTAGGCTTGAGGAAAGGTAGAAGTAGACCTAAGAAATATTGTGGTGAGAATGAGATGATTAGAAAGGATGTGACGCAACATCAGCTTATCGAGGACATGACCCTTGCTAGGAGGGTGTGTAGCCGAGAATTATGGTAGAAGGTTAGTTATTAGTCGTTCTGTTTTCCTAGAGTTCAGTATTATTCGTTTTTTCCCCTTATTGTTTGATTTCTACCTCTAATAGTTGTTTCACTTTGATATCTTCTGGTTGTATCTGTTTGTTGCTATTGCCTCTTTTTTCACTGTTAGTCCAGTTGAGGGTCTTTCGGAAACAACCTTACCTTCTCAAAAGTAGGAGTAAGGTCTGCGTGCACTCTACCCTCTTCAGGCCCCATTTGTGGGATTACATTGAGTTGTTGAGTGATGAATTAAAACGTTAAATATGATTTGTATACCTGCAGATGGGAATGGCAAGTGGATTAGAAACTTTATGTGGACAATCGTATGGTGCAAAACAATATCACATGCTTGGGATTTATCTCCAAAGATCTTGGATCGTCTTGACAGTAACCACAACCCTGCTTTTACCACTCTATATCTTCACCACGCCAATCCTAAAAGCTTTAGGACAGAATGAAGATATAGCAAAAGAGGCCGGGCTCATTTCTTTATGGTTAATACCGGTGACTTACTCCTTCGTTGCATCATATACATGTCAAATGTTCTTACAAGCTCAAAGCAAGAACAAGATTATTACATACTTGGCAGCTTGTACCTTAGCTATCCACATTTCCCTCTCCTGGCTTTTAACTGTGAAGTTTAAGTTTGGAATCACCGGTGCCATGATATCTACAATTTTGGCATACTGGCTTCCCAATGTTGGTCAGTTAATGTTCGTAATGTGTGGAGGATGCAAAGAAACTTGGAAAGGCTTTACATGTTTGGCATTCAAGGATCTTTGGCCTGTAATCAAGCTTTCTTTGTCTTCTGGTGCCATGCTTTGGTGAGACTCATTCCATTATTCGCGATATAGGAAGTATCATGTCACAAAAGCATCTTTGAGCCTGAAAGTCTGAATTTTTCGAGTTTTTTTTTGGCAGCCTTGAATTCTGGTACAATAGTATACTAGTTCTTATTACAGGAAACTTGAAAAATGCTATGGTTCAGATTGGTGCTCTTTCTATATGGTAATGTTGTTATACTCCTTTCTTATTTCGATTAGACCTTTTGTTCATGCTAGCTTCGTTTACCTATCGATCAATTTTTTACCCCTTTTTTGCAGCCTTAACATCAATGCTTGGGAAATGATGATATCTCTTGGTTTCTTAGCTGCAGCATGGTAATATAATCATAGTTTGTAATCCATTTATGTTATTTTTAGACTATTCTTCTTTATCGAGTGTTTTCAATTAGTGTACGAGTGTCAAATGAGTTGGGAAGAGGGAGCGCGAAAGCAGCAAGCTTTTCAATATGGAATACAGCAACAACATCATTTGTCATTGGGTTCATTCTGTTTCTGTTCTTTCTGTTCTTGCGTGGACGTCTGTCTTACTTATTCACTGACAGTCCAGATGTGGCTAAAGAAGTCGAAAAATTGTCTCCTCTATTAGCATTTTCCATACTCATGAACAGTATTCAACCAGTTCTCTCTGGTGAGTACTTCATTTGTCCAATTCAAATGCTCATCCTACGAAAAACATTTTCAAGAATCGCGCAAAAAAATCAAGAGTTTATTGATGCAGGTGTTGCTGTTGGCGCCGGATGGCAGAGCATTGTAGCCTATGTTAACATAGGCTGCTATTATTTAGTAGGCATTCCAGTTGGAGTTGTACTTGGTTATGTTTTCAAACTGCAAGTTAAAGTGAGTTCTCTCATTCCCTTTTCTTCTGCGTTTCTCATACTCTCCAAAAATATTGTTGCATCTGCATTGGATCGTTGACACGCACCTATTCGATATTTTTGAAGAATTTGAGCAACATTTGGAAAAAAGTCTACTTTTCTTTTGTGTTAACAGTTTCTCCAATTTTGGAAAATGTCTTTATAGGGTGTTTGGGTTGGAATGATTTTTGGTACACTGGTGCAGACAATTGTACTACTTATAATCACATTGAAAACAGATTGGAATAAACAGGTACTAATATATTATGTTAAGTTTAATTATATTATAAGCTTTGGATTTATTATTATCTTGGAAAATAATCAAGATATTTCTCATCCATACAGGTTTTAATTGCTCAACAGAGAGTGAAGAGATGGCTAGTAGAAGATAAAACTAATGATGATTCACAAACTGCTTGATGTTGAAAAATTCCTAAGCTTTTTTGATCATGTAATTTCATGAGCATTAAATTCTTATCATATGATATAGAATTTTAGATGTATCAATAGAAAAACAATTACATTTTCAACTCTTTTTGTCATCCATCCTAGTTTAGAAATCTTTATAAAGTTGAATAAAACATACACGAGTTGTTCATTCGGAATTTAATAAGATAGGTAAAATGAAGATAGTATGAATTTATGGTCATCTGAGTGACTTGTAAATAGGTGAACAACAGATACAAGATTTACACATTCCACAAACTCGTGACCAATTCAATAGTACTCCCTTAGTTTCTATTCAAATTATCTGTCGTGGTTTTTAAAATAGTTGTCTTAAACTATTAAATAAAATCAATTATCCTTTTCTCGGTAAGTATTCTTGGAGACTACAAACACTTCAATTATATGATGATGATACATAAATGATAGAATAAATGTTTAATGACGAGAGCAGTGGCGGAGCCACCTTACACTTAGGGGGTTCTGGTTCGGCAGAAAATTATATTATTTATACATGGTTAAAATAATTTTTTAGGTATATATAGTAGATGTTGAACTCCCTTCGATTATTTCGTGTGTCTATTTTTTTAGATTTTGAACCCCCTTATTGAAAATTCTAGCTCCGCCACTAGATGATAGATTATATCTTAGGATATAAGTAAAGATAAAATAGTCAAAACACTTCTTATTAATATTATCTTAAAGAATGTAAAAAGAGAAACACGACAAATAATTTGAGACGGAGTGAATATCAAAGTTTGGCTATTTTTGCAAATCTTCCTTAAATGGGACTAAAATATAAAAGTGTCCTCAAATCAATGAATCATCCCTTCAATCTGTGAAAACTCAGAAATAACCTTGCGTTTACAAAGCAACCGTGATCAAACGTAGTACTTTTTTCTTCAACATAAGGGTAGATTCGCCATTACATATCATCATCATCATCCTAAAAACTTGTTTTCAGAAAATCGCACTGCAATTTTGCTCCGTTTCATCAATTTTGAACAGTCGAAATCCAATTGTAAGCAGTTGCTAACTCCATTTCTCCAATGATTTTTTAGCAGTCATGCATAAGAAATTATTAAATGCTTTTTGTACTCAAATGAATGTGGAGTTTTTTTTCTTTGGTAGGGGAAGGGGATTACAGTATGGGAATCGAACTCGCAACAAGTTGAAAATTCAGTTAGTCAATCAACTAAGCTATTAATATTCCCGAGGAATTTATAATCAGTTCATGCTGCAAATTGGACAAAATTATAGTGAAATAGATAATTAGTATACCCAAAAACATTTAATTTTGTTTGCTTTGAAACAAGAGAAATCTGCTGGTGAACATTGGAGCGTTGAACCTAGAATATTATGCAGTTTTTTTTAAAAAAACTTTTTTGTTTAATGTTGAAAAGGTGAAGATATGGTACAATGTATGGAATCTGTAATGGATTTGACTCTGTTGTGTTGATAAAATGCGTGAAAGGGGAGCTGATGATTAGAAATTTGAGCTTCTGAGCCACATATTTTGTTTTGCTTCTGAAGTGTATGTCTCTATGTATGAACTCAAATGTGAAGAAGTGAAAATGATGTAATTTGTCCTGATGATGTAGTTATTTGTATGTGGCATAACTTCATCACTTTCTCTGGCGAATTTTGCATTTGTTAGGTCTTATGTGTGGATATAACTAGAAAGAATTGATTTTTTTGCTTACAAATTACCGTTTTTCAGTTTTTTTATTTGTTCCTTTTAAATTGGGGGTAGGGGAAGGGGGAAAAGAGGGAGGGGATTACAAGGTGGGGAATCGAATCCCTCACCAACAAGGTGAAAGTTCAGTTAGCTGGCTAACTATTTGAGCTACTATGCTTCCACTATCTGTTTCTTCAGTAGCTATGGTTATTTAACGTGTTCTTTTGTTTTGCAGTGAGAATATAGAAACATGCAGATGCGGCAAAAGCTTCTTTTTAGATCCAGTCCAGCTATATGTCCTCATAGTGTGTGTGGCTTTGTACCTGTTTGTCTAAAGCATCACATTAATCCAGTCAAACACAAGATGCTACATACGTCATGCCAGCTTATATTGCAAAGTAGAGGTAAAAGATTTGGCTTTTTAGTTAATTGTCTTAATGGAACCATTGAAAACTCAAACAATGAGCACCAGACTTGTTATAGAAATGATGAGGAAATTTCATATGATTTATACAATGAGTCCATATGTGAGTTGTGTACTGAAGGCGACGTTGATAAGGCAATGAGGCTGCTTTCCGAGATGGAGGCTTTGGGTTTTCATCCAAGTTTTGTATCTTATAGCAGCCTGATCGCTGCCCTTGGAAGTGTTGGCAGGACTTCGGAAGCTGATGCAATCTTTCAAGAAATGTTATGTTCTAGTCGCAAACCAAGGATAAAGGTGTTCAATATCTTACTTAGGAGCTTCTTGAGAAAAGGCCTCTTAAGGCTAGCAGATAAGGTCTTGATGTTACTCGATGATTTGGCTGTTGACAGGAACCAAGAAACTTATGAGATCCTGCTTGAGTATTATGTCAGTGCTGGGCGGCTTGAAGATACTTGGTTAATTGTTGCCAAAATGAGGAGAGAAAGTTATCCTTTAAATTCTTTTGTGTATAGTAAAATAATTGAACTGTATAGGGACAATGGCATGTGGAAAAAAGCACTAGGCATTGTGGAAGAGATCCGCGAGATTGGGCTACGACTAGATAAGCGCATCTTTAATAGCATCATTGATACTTTTGGCAAGTATGGTGAGTTGGGAGAGGCCTTAGAAATGTTTGACAAAATGCGCCAAGAAGGCATAAAACCTGATTTTAGAACATGGAATTCTCTGATCCGGTGGCATTGCAAGTATGGGCATCTAGATACTGCTATAGAATTGTTCAATGAGATGCAAGATCAAGGACTATACCCTGATCCTAAGATCTTCATTATCATTATTACCCATTTAGTGGAGCAGGGCAGGTGGGCTGTTATTGATACTATTCTTGAGAATATGCAAGGGAGAGGACATCACAAGAGCGGGGCTATTTACGCTGTCTTGGTTGATATTTATGGCCAGCACGGGAGATTTGAGGATGCAGAATATTGTTTAAATTCCCTAAAATTGGAAGGCCTTCAGCTTTCACCTAGCATCTTTTGTGTCCTGGCCCATGCCTATGCTCAGCAGGTGAGTTGTTTTATCTTTCCTTCTCGAAGGAGACTGATTTGCTTTTAGTTATTACATTAAAAAAAATGAAGGTGTGAATTACATTTACGGTATAAAAGGAATGCATGACATTGACAGTATAAGGAATGACTACTGAAGTGGTCTTCAGAAGGGCAGGAGTTGTCGTTAGGTTACAAAAGCAAATTCTCTCATTGGGAGGTGAATATTTTCAAAGTCGGGAGCTGCATGACTGTAAATCTGCCACTTAATATAATGCTAGTGCTAATCTTGGATTAGATAGGTTTGGAAATGGTTGTGTAGTTGAGTTGATATTTAGTCATAAATGTCTTCCATCTAGTACAGTAAAAACTTTCTCTCACCAAGACATGTTTGGGGTTTAGGCAAAACCCAAGACATGTGTGTTTCATACACACATTTGTGGTCTCTCTTTACATTCATTTGTATATGTAGTTAATGATTCCTTTCCCTTCGTATTACTATGTTCAAGATAGTATCTTTAAGTAGCTTTGAGGAGATTCCATCTTTTTACAAACATGTTTGGGGTTTAGGCAAAACCCAAGACATGTGTGTTTCATACACACATTCGTGGTCTCTCTTTACATTCATTTGTATATGTAGTTAATGATACGTTTCCCTTCGTATTACTATGTTCAAGATAGTATCTTTAAGTAGCTTTGAGGAGATTCCATCTTTTTACTCCCCCCGTTTCAATTTTCTTGTCTAGTTTTGACTTGAAACGGAGTTTGAGAAAGTAAAGAAAACTTTCTAATCTTGTGCTTTTAAACTAAGGATATGTAAGATGTACCAAAATGTTCTTTAATCTTGTGGTCTTAAACATGCTATGTGGAAAGTTAGAACTAAAGAGTTGCCAAAAAAAGGAAAGAGATATTCTTTTTGAAACGGACTAAAAAGGAAAGTAAGGTAAACAAATTGAAATGGTGGGAGTAATATTTTTGCCTTATGTGCAGGGATTATGTGAGCAGACTGTGAAGGTTCTGCAGATAATGGAAGCCGAAGGGATGGAACCAAACCTTATAATGCTAAATATGTTGATAAATGCTTTTGGGAATGCTGGTAGGCATATGGAGGCACAATCAATTTACCTGCATATAAAGGAGATGGTAAGTCCTTAAACTTTCCAAATTTCCCTAAAACATATTTCCTGTCATAAACTTTGCTGATAGTGGTGCTGCTATTTCTGTAGGGTATTACTCCTGATGTGATTACTTATAGCACTTTAATGAAGGCTTTTATGAGGGCTAAGAAGTTTGATCAGGTTTGGCTTCTAATATTGCTATGAGCCATTGGCCTTCACACTTTTCTTGAATGTGATGTGACTAAACAAAGTCATAATTTGAAAAATGCATGATTAAGTTGTTGCATAAAAAATGAGTAATTTGGGCTTCAGTGTAGCAAAGGCGGTGAAAAGCATGGAAATTAGATGCTGACTTACTTTTTTGTATTTAACTACATTTATGTGGCTCTACTTTGTTGTCGCTTGCTAGGTCCCCGAGATATATAGTGAAATGGAATCCACTGGATGTACGCCAGACAGAAAGGCTAGAGAAATGTTGCAATCAGCATTGATGATCCTTGAACAAAGACACTGTTAGTTTAAGTATAAGTAGTTAGCCTTATTAGGCTGTATTGCGGTTTTGTTAGTTTCTTCAATCAGTAGATGACGCACAGCACCAGAAACTAAAAACACTTTTGATGCTGCTCACTGTAATCTTTGAGGACTTTGATGCTCAAGTAAGATAATGTCCTTGATCTGCTTAGTAATTATTTCCATATTTTGTTTTCCTTAGCTAAATTGTTGATCCGGCCGCCTTCTGTCTCTTTTGTGCAGCTTATCTTTTTAGCTCTTCCTCGTGCCTTATTTATAGGGAGCATTATTTAACCTGTGAGATCATATAGCTTCCTGAAATGTGGATATTGCAGAGTCACTTGTCATTTTTGAGGTTTGTGAGTACACATTCGAATTGTTGTGGATTATATTAACATTTGGTATATACTAGTTGTTGGAGAACCAATGGTTACAATTGTTAGCAGTTTGCTTACAATCTGCTTACTTTAGGACCATTAACTTCAATGTGAATCTGCGATTGTATGTAGGGGAAGTCATCATATTAGCTTTAAAATTTCACTGAACTTGCAATATTAGATTTGTTCTACACGTGCAATAATGACTTTCCCATTCAATTCCATTCTTTACTGTTGGAGCATAGCATATTTTAGAGACCACTTGTTCCTTTCAGATGCTTCATATATGTTCGTTCGATTGCCTCTACTTAAATATTCTATTCATCCTATAACCACTGCTATTGGAGCCGACTTATACCCCTTTTTCCTTTGTGTCTCAGCAAATGGCTCATGGCTGCCTGCCTGTGCCTGTAAAACGAAATATCTGGAACTACTATTAAACTTAATGATACTAAGGTGTCTGTGGCACCTTCTTCCATCAATATGTTGTCTGTTGCATCACGATTCACGTATGTAACCATTACTGATATCTCTTGTTTCCTTGGCAGCCCCAGATGTACTTCTCTTCGTCTGCATTGTTGCTATATCAACAGGTAAGAAATGCTTCACTCGGTGTTATCACCAAGCTCAATCTGCTATGCTTACAGATTAGACTCTCGCGTTTCTTGGATTACTCTATCCTGCTGAGAGTTTATTTTGTTACTTAACGTAGCGACATAATTTGCAGTCTGATTAACCTTTATACTTTGAAGGAGAGAAAAGCAGCGTCTCTGAAGGCTAAAAGAGTGCGGTATTGCAGCTGTAGATTCCATTGCTACAATAATGAAGTCTTGTTTCGACACTGATGCAGAATCTGCAAATGACAACGCTAAATTAAAGAGGTTGCATTCTTTGTAATCATAATTCATGCATAAACATTCTTTCTTTATCAGTAAGACTTGGAAATACAACAACAATATACCTAGAGTGGGGTTTGTACGCAGACCTTATCCCCAATCTCATAGAGAGACTATTTATTAACATTCTTATGGTAATAAATTGTTGTTGGATGATTGTTTTTTGCAATAAAATAGACACGGCGTGGAAGTTAAAATATGGATTTGGTTTAAAATCGGGATGAAACAACCTCTCTACCTTTCACAAAGGCAGAGGTAAGATTGTATACACATCACTCTTCTTAGACTCCACTTGTGAAATACACTATGTTGTCATTGGTTTTAAATAGAATAAAGACTTGTTACCAGTGACACTATGTAATCTAATATTGGTTTCCTATCTCATGTTAATTTAAAATAATTAGACTTGTTTATAATTAGAGGTCACAGACTACACCTGTGAGATTTTACTGGGTAGGTTGTTGGATTACAATTAGAAGTTAAAAGGTATACACACATAAAAGACATCACACAAAAGGAGATAATTGAAAAAGTTCTAGAATGATGTAAGTTATTCTTTAATTCTTTTGGACTTTATATATGTTTTGATATTTGATTAATTTAGATTCAAAAGTGTTTGATATATATTTTGAAGTTAATAACTCATTTATATTGAAAATAATTTACGAATTAATTCGAGACTAATAATTAAGAATGGGAGTGTACATATGAATATATTATTATTCTCGCACGTAGTGAATTGGTCCCATGCTCTCCACCTAACAATTCTCCTGAACCTAAACCCTGAAAAAACATTTTTCCTCTTCCCTGTGCACAGCGCAACCGCACGCCGCCCGGCGCCGCCACTATGAACATCTCAACCATGAGGCTCGATGCCAGCTCAATCACAACGGCGACAGCCACCGCGACGGCGAAGGTGAGTCACCGGAGTGGGATCATCGGTTACAATGGGACCAATAGTTGTAGGCTCATTCAGTTCCAGCAAAGGAACAAGAAGGCTTCTTCATTGATCGTTTGTTCGACAAAGCCGCTTTCTTCGGTAGTGGATCGTCAAGGGGTAAACGAGTCAGGACTGAGTCGAATTGAGTCACTGAGTCAGGTATCAGGCGTGCTGGGTTGTCAATGGGGAGATGAAGGAAAAGGAAAGCTCGTTGATATATTGGCTAAGCAATTTGATATTGTTGCTCGTTGTCAGGTATATTTGTATGAGTTTATTATTAGTATTATCATTTCGGTTAATTCAACGGGATACCAGCAATTCTGTCCAGCTAGAAGAAATCGCCTAGTGTTCTTGTCTCTGCTGAAATTTGAACTAGGCCACAGCCTTGGGTGCTATATGAGTTTATGTCTATACGAGTTTATGTACGAGTGATAACTTCCTTTAACCGGTTAAATAACACTGATACTGTATAGTTAGCATCTTGGAGTAAATTTTAGGCCAAATCAAGAACAATATTTGCTTCATTATTTGGAATTTTTTGTTAGATATGCTTGGTTTCAGTGAGTGGGTGACTTAGAATACAAGAGGCCTTCAAAAGGAGCCCTAGTGATACCTTAGGATCATAGTTTCTTTTGATTCTAGAGTTTCCCCGTATTATTTTTTGATCACTTGATTGCTCCCATTTGGTACCTGCTGGAAGTACCACATAACTCTATCCACCAAGGCTTGGACAAATACGAAGAAATCACATACTGTTTTCAACTCCAAGGGATTTGAACATTAGAGTTCAGGGTTCTCAACCCAATGACCACTAGGTCATGTCTTTAGGTGCAAGATTAAATATTTTTTGTATAATGTTCATATGTATTTCATATCTATACCATTTTGTTTTAAATTTGTTGTTTCTATTTATTTGCCATCCTATCATTCTACTTCACTTTATATTGCTTGGGATAGATAAGCTTGTTAACTACGCTAGCTGAGCTTTTTAATAATGTTTTTGGTTGTTAGGGAGGAGCCAATGCTGGGCACACTATTTACAATTCTGAGGGGAAGAAGTTTGCTCTGCACCTTGTCCCTTCAGGGATTCTCAATGAGGAAACTTTATGTGTTATTGGTAACGGAGTTGTGGTACATCTACCAGGACTTTTTAATGAAATTGACAATCTTGAATCTAATGGAGTTTCTTGCCAAGGAAGGATTTTGGTATCCGATCGTGCTCAGTTGTTATTTGATTTTCACCAAGAAGTAGATGGGCTTAGAGAAGCTGAGCTAGATAAGTCCTTTATTGGAACCACCAAGAGAGGCATTGGGCCTTGCTATTCAAGCAAGGTTATTCGAAATGGCATAAGGGTAAGTGATTTAAGGCATATGGACACATTCCCCCAAAAGCTTGATCTTTTATTATCAGATGCCGCTTCAAGATTCCAAGGTTTTAAGTATAGCCCTGACATGCTCAGGGAGGAAGTGGAACGCTATAAGAAATTTGCTGAGAGGTTGGAACCTTTCATTACAGATACCGTGCACTTCATGAATGATGCTATATCTCAGAAAAAGAAGATTTTGGTAGAAGGTGGTCAGGCAACTATGCTGGATATCGATTTTGGGACATATCCTTTTGTCACTTCATCCAGTCCATCAGCTGGTGGAATCTGCACAGGTCTTGGAATTGCTCCCAGAGTTGTCGGTGATCTTGTTGGTGTGGTAAGCAAACTTGATTTATTTTCTTAAAAGAATTTTTTTCCTTTTATACTGAATAATGAAGAACAGTTCTATCTTTCCAAAAACATATTGCAGTACATCTATCATTGTCAATCAGCTAAACGTGTGATACACCCAGCTTTTAGCCAGAAGAATATGATCCTCATATCAACTAGCTCTTAGGAACCAATTAACTGCATGGTCCTTCAGTGTGCATCTATCGCACTTTAAGCGTTGAGCAGCAAATATTGAGTTGTTTTAATTGATGCTTTTCCTGCAGGTTAAGGCATATACAACAAGAGTTGGTTCTGGTCCTTTCCCAACAGAACTCATGGGCAAAGGTGGTGATGTTCTTCGTTCTGCTGGGCAGGAGTTTGGCACAACTACTGGACGCCCTCGTCGCTGTGGTTGGCTAGACATAGTTGCACTGAGATACTGCTGTCAAATAAATGGATTTGCTTCTCTAAACCTGACAAAACTAGATGTGCTGTCAGATCTATCAGAAATTCAGTTGGGTGTTACTTACAGGCATCCTGATGGTTCAACATTAAATTCTTTTCCTTCTGATCTAACTCTTCTCGAACAAATAAAAGTAAGTTTCTTTTTTTTTGTTCTACTTCAACATCTTTTTACGCGATGATTTTTGTGGTGTTTGGAAGACCAGATTATTAGTTCCAACTTTCAGGTGAATGTTTTGGGAAATTGAGCCATATCAACACATTGATGTGTGGAAAAAACATAAAATCTTTTTTCATAAAAGTTTTGTTTTTCAGTGAGGAGTTAACTTTAGTTTAATTTCCTCTACCCTATTATCGGAAGGTGGATGAAAACAAAATTCCCTAATTTTTGCAACTCTTTTGTTCTTTCAATCTGCCTTTTCTCTCCCAGATATCATGATTTTTTTCTATTGGCTGTTCATATCAGTAGACCTTCAGTATGCATATTGATACTTCTTTAATTGCCCATGTTGCTTGTATCTTATTACCGTTTTCTATCTTCTTGTATTGTGTGTTTGTGACTTCTACTATATGTTTTCCTTTTTCTCATCTATGTAGGTGGAATATGAAGTTATGCCTGGATGGCAGACTGATATTTCTTCCATCAGGAAGTATTCTGACTTGCCCAAGGCTGCACGCGAGTATGTAGAAAGGATAGAGGAGCTTGTTGGGGTACCTATCCACTACATTGGTATTGGGCCTGGTCGTGACGCCCTTATCTACAAGTGATTTTAGATATTTTCATCATATTACCAGAATCATATTCTTCAAATTGCTGGTAAACCTTAGCTAAGCTTGTAGTAACTTTAGGCATTATCGGTTTGATGTCGTTGCTTAATGTAACAATAATGTACTTGTTGTTTTTAAAGCTAGATATACCCTCTCCCTGTTTTCCTTTCGGGATTTTGTTGAACCTCCCAAGGAAAAGTCAGTTAAGAACGCCACTAGCTTGCTTGAGTGATGACGCTTCTGTCTGTATTGAACTGTTTGCCTTTTAATTTTTGACTTGTTGATCTATATCAGATGTTTCTATTGGTAAACGTATTTACTCGGGATAATGCATGAGAACCACCCTCTAGTTACACATCTAAACTATACGAGGGTCCTATTACCCCGGAACTTAATTATCAAGCTTGCACTCATTTTTGTGTTCAAGCTGTGGTGTCTATTAAGATGATGTCACTGCACTGTTAATAGCAGACCCCCATAATTTAGATGTGTAACTAACAATCTCGCCGTGGATTAGGAGGCTCTGCTGGGTCTAAAAAGAATGGATTCAGCTGACATTGGCTTCTTAAAACTTTCAGAATATACTTTTTTATATGAAGCTATACAATAAATCAATTTATTATATGGTTTACTGTGAAATATATAGAACATGAACTTAATTAATTCCCAGTTTTTTAAAAAAGGAACTGAATCTGAGTTTCACGTGATAGAGGACGCTCTATTTTGAAATACAATTGGTTTATAATTGCCTCACTTGACATTGAATAAGTTCTTATTCTTTTAAAGTTAAAAATGATCTGTAAATAACCTATTATAGTCGGTTAAAATACACTGACGATGTAAAGATACTTTAATACGTGTATATAAGATAAATTCTTTCAAAAGTTCCATATTGAAGATGGAAACATAAGCTCATCATTCACATTATAAAAGCTATTAGCCTCTTCTGCTGCTACCTCATGATCTTCTATACCTGTTATTGCACCCAATGTGTCCCAATTGTAACTTGTTGTATCACCAAATAAATGAGCAATTGAACTATCGTCTTTTAGTGAAACTCCAGACTGTGTGAAACTACTGATGCTATTATTATTATTATGATCATGATCTTGATTTTTATCAGGCGGTTGTTGTTGATGATCATCTCTTTTCATTATTCCTATCTGTTGAAGAAATTCATTCAGATCAATCTGAGGCTTCTCAGCTTGATCACCACGAACCGCTACATTGTTGTGTGATGAGAATTCATCTTCCTTCTCCTTGATCATCACTTGCGGACTTGTCATTGTCAAGTACTCAGGTTGTAATTTACTATAGTTTTGAGTTCCATTTTTGGGAAGATCGCTGATTGATGAACTCGAAGATGAGGCTGTTGCAGCCGCGGCCTCTGCTCTCTTGAGTTCTTGAAGCCTTTGGTGAATTACATGAACATTTGGCTGAGCACTTAAGTTGAGTAAGCCAGTGGTATTTGGGATTAATGATGAAACAAAGTTGTTGGTTGATGAAAACCATTTGAACTTTTGTGATTTGTTCAATGGATTGAAATTAGCTCTCATATGAGGTAAATTAAGGTAAGCATCTGGTCCATATAATCTTCTTGCTGCTTCATCATAAGCCATTGCAGCTTCTTCAGCTGTAGCAAAAGATCCTAACCATAGCCTAGTTCTCTTTTTAGGCTCTCTGATTTCTGCTACCCATTTCCCCCATGTTCTCTGTCGAACGCCTCGGTATTCGCATAACGCGTTCTGCGGGCCCCCTTTCCCTCTTGCCGGACCCTTCTTCCATGGTTTTAGTGGATTTCTTTTGTAGCTGTCCATAAAGCCCGTTCAGTATGCTAGACTAGATTATCAGTGTCGTACTGGAAGGCCAAAGAGTGCAGGAAAAATTGTATGAAGTTATAGCTTAGTGAAGGGTAGTTAAGAGTGTATAGTGTGTTAACTTTTCGGGCCAACTGAAAGCCCGTTCAACACACTAGACTAGATTATCAGTGTCGTACTGGTAGGCAAAAGAGTACAAGAAAGTTGTAGAGTGTTTACTTTTCGGGCCAACTGAAAGCCCGTTTAGTACGTTAGACTATATCAGTGTCATATGAGAAAGTGTAGTATTGTATTTTTGCTAAGTGTTGAGTGTGAGGGATATATTGGAAGGAGTGGGAATATATATATGTGTGTGTATAAGGGAAGAATTTGTAGTTTTGATTTAAATGTTTTCACGTTTGTAAGTGTTATAAGAGCTCATGCATGTGACCGTTTGAGCTAAGTAGTAGTGTACACTGAATATAATGTCAAGTCACATTATTCTTTAGTTCTAATTTCTCTCATTCTTTCATTTTACTCTTTTTATTTTATGAAGTTTTAAGTTATACGCAATGACGATAATGAATAAAAAATCTATACAATCAAGTCATTTACATATGTTAAACCATACATGACGATTATGAAAAATGAACTACACGCTCCTTATACAAATAGCTGATCGGATTCATAATTTACTTTTTCTAGCCGAAATGTATAGATTATATACTTTATACACATATATTGCATGTATTATAATATAATTCTATATCCATCTATTACTTTTAGTTTAAGTGGTTGTGTGGATGTTATTTAGGATAATTCTTCTCTTCTTTTTTGTTTCTTTAAAAAACATCCTCTGCGTAATTCAAAATTCTTACTCCGTTCGTTTTAATTTATTTATCTTACTGTCCGTTATTCTAACTTTCCACATGACATGATTAAGATCATAAGATTGAATGAAATTTTGATAGCATTATTCTATCTATCTTCGGTTAAAGACCACAAGATTAAAAAACCTTATCTATTTTCTTAAGCTTCGCTTCGTGTCAAGGCAAAATCAGATAGCAGAGAAAGTATAAAGAAAGACAATACACTCTAATGAAATCCATCATTGTTGTAATCTCAAACTAAAGAGATTGCTTTGAATTGAATGAAGTATGACACCTCACATTCCTTGGATTCTCTAATTAATTCAAAATGGTCTACTCACTACACTCTTCTTCTCTCATAAAAGTCACAGAAGAAGAAATACTAGCCAGTGATGAATTTCTACTAATAAGTTTTGTATAAGTATTAAAAAGCACCTCACAAGAATTTTTGAAATTCACGAGCCTCTAAATTCACATGTATTTTTTCTGACATTCACAGCCTGATTCTCGAGTCTTTACATTCATCTTTATCCCATGCAGTCATATACGTACGCACACAAGACAACTTGAATCACACTCTGAAATGGACTCGGGAGTGACAGAAGCGGATTCAGAATTTAAAGTTATGAGTTATGTTTGTATGATGGACTCAAGGGAAGTGCGATTTTCAGGGCTAGGGAGTGACAGATGGATTCAAAATTTGAAGTTATGAGTTTCTTCAGGGTCGGGGAGTGGCAATAGATTCAAAATTTGAAGTTATGGATTTTCTCAAGTTATACTATATATTAACAATTGGGTTCATAGTTGGGTATTTATAGATATTTAATGAATTTCTTGATAAATTAACAGTCTCGACAAAAGTTACTGAGTTCATGTAGATTATTTTCTGGATCCAACATCCACCCTAGAGAGGGAGAGAGATACAAGATTCGAGAGGAGTTCAATTGAATTTCCCTCGTTAGAGAATTACGTTGTACAAATAGGAAAAAAGTTACAGGGGAATAGGGACGCAACAGGGAATTGAACAATCCAGTAAATAGACGACACATGGCATTCTTGTATTTTTTTTTCCACCAGTTAGAATTCCCGACTCTGCCACTATACTCGGGTCGGTGGGAGGGGTATAAAAGTCATTTCATCCAGTAACTTAATGACAAGTTGACAAAATGGTATACAGAAAAGAAACTAGTTGAAGAAGACTAGTAGTAAACCTGTGAGAGTAATAAAAGGAGAAACACGGGATTATGTTCCCCTTTGCATATATGATGACAAAATATAAGCTTACCAACTTGTTAAAGAACGAAAGAGTAGAGTGTATGCAGATTTTATTCTTACCTCGTGGAGGATTGTCATGCACGTCACGTCATACATAAATGGAATAGAAAAATACAGATTATATACACTCACCATAAACATAGAATGGAAAAGTGTCAACTTTAGATTTACAAATACAAGGAACTTAGAAATAAAACATGTTTCTTGCACAGTGCATCCCTGCCTTGTCAATATCTTAAATTTTTATGTCAGTCATTTAATGAGAAATCAAGAGAAATATCTAAAACTCGAGTGGCTAAAGCTGAAACAGCTACTTTCGAAGCAACATAACTAGAACTGTCATAAGCCGATGTCGTATTCATACTTCAAAAAGTGACCATTTCATATCATTGACATCATTAAAGGATCAAACAAACTGGTAGACTAGCTAAACAAGGTTGTTATTAAATCTTCAGAACATTTACAAGCAGAACATTTAAGCATTTTTACACTTCACTAGAGAAAAGTTTATAACAAAATGCTATTTTCTGCAAGCTACATGGGAACTTCTAATTTTGGCTTCGTACCTTACTTCATTCCAAAAAACTTCTAACAGGGACATTGGGGGTACAACAGAAGGCTCAAGAGACCTCAAAGTCTAACAAAAACTACCATTGGAGAGACTTAAGCCACATATTAACAGTAACTGCATTATGCACAATAGTATGCTGTTCCAAAAAAAGCAGCCAACAATTTTAGACAACACTACACATATATAGTCCATTTTAAAAAGAAACATTTATGTTGCTTTCTCGCCTGCTTTGCTAATGTTTCTCCACTTATCTTTGAGGTCCCCCGATGTCCGACCTTTCTGGAAAACATCACCTCCAAATTCCAAAATCCTCTTCCATCTATCATGAAAATGTGAGAATTGTAGTAATCCCTCCTGTGGAAGCAACAACAAAGGCTAGTACCACTAGATGGCCAAAAAGAAAAGTACAGTAAATCACTAAAATTGATATATTTCCCTTTATATACGCAACATGAAAGGAAAAGCACAGCTGCATGTAAATTCCTCCAACATTCAGGTGAAACCAACAAAAAGAAACCCCTTATTCCTATTGAATGGGACAATCTTTTCTTTTTTCATAAGTAAATATATGTGCATTTATAGAAAAAGAGGTGAATTTTACCTTCTATTTGAACAAAGGGGGTGCATTCTTACCACATTTTCAAGGAGAGAGCATGAGGCAGAAAACAAGCAAAATTTAGACAAAAGAATATGCATGATTCTAACTTCTATTTGAACAAAGGGGGTGCATTCTTACCACATTTTCAAGGAGAGAATAAGCGTGAGGCAGTAAACAAGTAAACTTTAGACAAAAGAATATGCATGTACCTTTAATGTTTCCTCCTCCATTTTTGTCCATGGGAGCTTCTTCCTCCTCAGTTGAGGAATCCAGGGACAGAAACTGCAAATTAAAAGTACATCCTTTATCAACGGAGTTTCCAACTACTCGCTCTAACAATAAAAATGAACAGCAAACAATCAGAGGTATAAATCGTAACCAAAAAAAATAAAACAACAGTAATTCACGTGCCTGATTATCACTATTAACAAAATGTTTTGATTCAATGTAAAAGAGATGAGAAAACAGAAGTAAATGCAGACACTTGAAAGTATAAGTGAATCAGATGACACTTTTTGGAAGAATATATGAAGTGACCACATGATTTGAATAATTGGAGAAGTGCAAAGGACTTACTTGTTTTCTTGTTTCCTAAATTGTACATGGTATCCGGAACCTATCTCATCTTGTTCTTCTTCAGAACTTACTTCTATAGAAGAACTTTCTTGGCACACATGTTCATGAGGAACATGTGGTTGAGGTGGATGGATCTGCGTGACCTCGGCACGCATTGAATTTCTAGTGACTGGATGACTTCCTGCTGGTTCAGCCTTCTCCAAAGAATTTTTGTTTCTATTCTCATCATGACACAATTCTTCTTCCTCTCTGGACTGATTCTGTCTTGATCTATGACATCCAAGAGGTGATTTGTCGGGTTGTTGACCAGCTACTAAGCATTGTTTTGGTAGAGAAGCCTCTGGTCGAGGTGAACCGGTTTGCATGACTTGAGCTCCGACAGAACTCCTGTCGGCTGGAGCACTCCCTGCTTCTCTGACCTCATTCAACGAATTCCTCCCATTTTCATTGCGGGGTAGAGAAGTTTCTGGTTGAGGTGCACCAGTTTGCATGACTTGAGCTCTGACAGAACTCCTGTCGGCTGGAGCACTTCCTGCTTCTGTGACCTCATTCAATGAATTCCTCTCATTTTCATTGCGGGGTCGAGAAGGCTCTGGTTGAGGTGCACTGGTTTGCATGACTTGAGCTCCGACAGAACTCCTGTCGGCTGGAGCACTTCCTGCTTCTGTGACCTCCTTCAATGAATTCTTACCCTTTACATTGCGGCACAACTGTACAATTGTATCCTCTTGAGATTGATGCTTCTTCATTCCTTGTGACCTAGGTAGTGACTTCTTTGATTGTTGTCCAGCCCCCAAGCGAATAAATGCAGCCAAATCATTCCTAGCAAGTGAGGCCTTCTTCTTACCTTCCAGGTACTCAGAAATGGCTCGAGAATATGCACAAAAGGGGCAAAAGAAGCTTCCTTTGTAATCAAAGTTGGGTACAGAACCCAAGCAACTTTCATGAACCACCAAAGAGCAAGTATCAGAACTACAAACTAATAAGTTTTCCCCCTCGTTACACTTCACACAAAGATTAAGCTCTGTACAATCAACAGTTGCCAAAGAATCTTCACCCTGAGCGTATTGCAAGTTCAAGAAATCATTTTTCTGTGAAGCAAGATCAGTACTCTCATTGTGATACTCATCAGTATCACCAGAGAACTCAGATTCACAACTTTGCTCAATATTCTCTTTGTCTGCATTAGAAGGTTCGCCATTTTGCAGATCTCGTGGAAGATTATAATCCAGGTCACCTTTGGAGCCACAAGTGCGAGAATCCTGCTGAATCACATGCAGGGATGAGTCACTTGATGTTCCCAGTTCAGCACAACAATTGCTGCTACTTCCAATATTTTGGAACTTCTTGTCTGAACTCATTCTTTGAGGCAACAGATCCTTGATACTAGAGTCAATGCCACATAAAACACTTGCTGATGCAGCATGCTTTGCTTTACCATCCTTCAGGCATCCATTTGCTTCAAGGGTACCATCATCTTCCGAGTTCCTTTTTTGAACAATAGATTGACTTCCTCCACATGATTCTGTTGGGACTCCATCTCTTTGAGACGATATCAAATCAGGAACAGTGTTCTGAATGGGACCAGCAACATCCTGCTTAAACTTTTTGGCAGCCTTCGCACATGGATCAGAACTTTTCTCTGGCGTGGCTTTAGTTTTATTGACTTCTATTTCATAAGCAGTAGGGGCATTAAAACTCCTCTTAACAGGCAGCAGAGTGCTTCCAGGCTGATTTTCTTGCAGGCCATTCTTGTTGCCCTGTGTTGAAGTATCCAAGTTCTCAGTTGGTGCAGCATGTCGGGTATTCACACCTCCTATTTCATGTCCCTGCTTAAAGCCATCAGAATCAATAGCATCAGCAGTACCACTGTCTCTGTAGTGGTTCCCCAACTCCAATCCACTTCTTTCTTTCAAGGAAGTGGAAAAAGGATTCGTCGATTTCACAATGGCATCTTTAAACTGTTTATAACAGAAAATATAGCAAATCCCAATCAGACATAATATTTTCATATGTTCCAACCAATCAAATTCAAAAGACTATTAAAACTAGCTTACTTGTTGCAAGTGACACTTTGGCAAGATAGATCTCTTTTTCATAATGAATGACAGAACATCCCACTTGAACATATCTGGAGTAGCTGTTTTTAGATTTGATGCAGACATCTGTGTTACATTTACATGCAAAGACACAACTAAGCATATGTAAAACAGAAGTAATTAAAACTCTCAAGGAGACCATTCCCTTGAAAATAGGTCCCTTGCTTAGAGCTTTCAAATCACTGAATCAAATAATCTACCATATACAAGTAGAAGACAGAACTAATTACCTCCAACAATATGCAGCGAAGGACATCTTCGCAGTCCCTTGACGGATCAAGTTCAACTTTGTCACCTGGAACTGAAGCGACACTATTTGCATCTGAGTTTTTCCGACCAAATAAGCTCTCTAAAACTCTCAAGGAAACCATTTCCCTTGCATTTCTCCCCAGATCATCTGAGATTTCAGGAGTCCTCTTAACCAAATCTGTTATGCAAGAACTATTAAAGTCAAAACTCTCATGCCCACAATTCAACAACAGCTTCCACAAAATAAAGCAATTGTAACTTCACACATACTGATGAGTAAAGATGCGTCTATCTCACTGGAACTTGCCAGTGCTTCAATCACCCAAATCCATGGCAGAGATGATGTACATGCAAGTTTGGTAGCCATGAAAGACTGTTGCAGTGCTTCAGAGACCATAAATTTGCTATTTCAATTCCCAGCTACCTCATACTTATCTCTGCTCATAAAGCTGTTTGACATAGAGATAGAAGGGATGACAGTGCAATGAATACACAATAATGACAAAAGTAACAAAATATTAGATTCCTGCACCCATTAGATCAATAACCAAATGACGTTCTTTGTGATTTTTTTTTCCAAACAGAAAATTATAAAACTTTATCCAAGGCCTCAAACAAGCCAAATCAAATTGGGGGTTCTGTTGAGAAATGGTAAAACATGTCAAGTAAACATAATTAAACAATTCCTTGAGCAAGTAAACATAGCATACACTTTTCTTGATTTCCTTAGATGGAAGCTTCCTCACCAAAGCCTATTAAAAAGCTGAAACTGAAAATGTAAAATTGCATATATCAATGCGTATTTACTAGAAACTCACAATCCCAGCTGGCATACAAGTTCAAATAAAATCAATGATACATACTTAGAACTACAGCCTCTTGGATCAAGGATTTCCTTCTAGTCCTACCAATGCTAATTCTTTAATAGCTTCCTTTATTTCACTATACACTCACCTCTGTCAGTTGCATCAGCCTTGTAATCAGTAAGCTTATGAGCTTTAGGGATAGAAAGAAGGACTAAAAACGATGTTATGTTTCAACTAATTAGATCACACTTCTACACTAGTTTTTTCCTCTCAAATTGAATTTTATGCTTTTACTTCGTACAACAACAACATACCTAGTGAAATCTCACAAGTGGGGTCTGGGGAAGGTAAAATGTACGAAGACCTTACCCTTACCTCGTGGAGATAGAGAAGCTCATGCTTTAGCTAAGTAAGACCATCAAATGAAAACTGGGTATATCTTTTTTTTTTTACGTCAAGTCAATGAAGATTATTAGGCTAGAAATAAATTATGACCGCTCTACTCTACTAACCCCAGTACTAGATACTAGATAGAATGGCAGTCACCCTAGCATAAAATCCTTCTCCGCTCGTCTAACTCAATCTAGATAGCAAAGGTCGCCCATATGCAATCAACAGATCGAACAAAGAACCAATGACATGGCAAACAAAAAAGACACAGATCGGTGCACGAAGTATCCCGCCTCCCCACAGGAACCAATAATACTCATTACTCCCTCTTGAGAAAGCAAAATCAATTGGGACAACAAAAGAAAGGAACATGATCAACTTAACTTGGTAAGAGTACAAAAGTAAATAAAGTTAAATCCTTTCCCATGTTTTAGCTTTATTAACATCTATAGAAACTCAGATAAAAATAGTCAAGAACATTCTCAGTTGTCTCTCAGAAAATCCATACCACAAACACTAAAGAACTACAACAACAACAACAAACCCAGTGTAATCAACATGTGGGGTCAGGTAGAGTATACGTAGACCTTATCCCAACCTTGAGAAGGTAGAGAAGTATAATCCCACATGTGGGGTCGGCTAGAGTATACCTAAACTTTACCCCTACCTTGAGAAGTCCGAGGTTGTTTCCAATAGACCCTCGACTGAACAAAATGCAAAAGAGCCAACAGTAACAAGCAGAAACAACAACAAGAAAATAAGATAACGAAGCTAAATAATAACAGGTAGTAAAAACACTGAAGAACTAACAAAAATCTAAAACCTTTTCTGCTACACAGTGATAAATATACAGAAATTCTTCAAAAAATTGAAATTAATTAAACAATAGACTAATATAAGTAAAAATAAAAGCTTTTGAAGAACCTGATTCTCCTTCCATATACATTCAGCAAGTTCCCCAACTTCCCAATACACCATAAATTTGAAATACAAATAGAAAGAAAAAAAAGCTAGATTTTTCTGGAACCTTCGATTTCTAGTAGTGTTTCTATGCTGCGAAAGAGGCGAAAAAACTATGAATCTCTTTAGTTCAGAAATTGCAGAGCTTCCATTAAAGAGGGTTTTTCAAATTACCAGAGCAGAAAATTGTACAGATTTGAAAAGAAAGAAAAGAGAACCAAGTAGGAAATAAGTCGGGTTCGGGTTATTGGGTCGGATCCTCGTTTATCCCGATTATAGGCTTCAAATTTAATAAAGAAGTCGAGAGTTACATACTAAGTTGAGTCACCCTTTTCGGATTTCGAGATTTAAATAAGTCTATTTTTTTATCGTAATATTTTTCATATATCTTTTAATTATTTTGAATTACTAATTATTGTGAATTATAGTATTTTTTTTACGTAGTTTACAAATATATAAATTTCATTTTAAAAAAGTTAAAAATTCCACGAGTAATTTTCCGATAAAACTTAAATTATTTAACTCTCGAAAAATGAAAAGTATCAGAGGAACATATTATTTATTTTTTTGGAGGTAAAAAAAGATGATAACAAAGTAAATTAGATTAAACATTTATGTTTCGTCTAGTATTAACTAAAAGATTCATCCCACGGTTCGGTTTTTTAAAACTAGTATTGGGCAAGTTGTAAGGTGTATTTTTAGTCCTTAATATATGAGAATAAATAGAAATATAAATGGTAATGTAAATTTTACACATTGGAAATATAAAATATATTTATACAATCAGATTACTTAAAAAATAATTATGTGTAACATTATTTTAATGAGCATTGATCATTAACTGTTATAAATGGTAAGTAATCTACGATTACATGTTAAGTTATGCTAAAAAGGAAAAATAAGATAGCTCGATGCATGAAATATTTTGTATACACATAAGATTCGAAGAAGTGTGCTCTTTAGAAAGGTGTGATATAATAAGTAACCTACCCTGATACAAACATTAGTTATTACTTTCATGATTTGAGCTGGTAAATTGTAATCTTTAACACTCTGTTTGGATCATTGTTACCCATTGTTTCATAATGTACTGTATTGTATTGTACTCTATTGTACTAAATTGTATGGTAGATACAATGTTTGGCTAGACTGTATTATTTGTTGTTGTTTAATAACATTTTTATTGTTTTGTTTGATTGTATCGTACGATATTATAATTTATAAATTTACTAAAATATCCTTAATTATTCTAGGATAGGAGGTTTGACTAGAATTAAATAATATATGGTAAAGGGTAAAAAAGTATTATGAAATATTATGCCATGATATAATTGAAAAAATAAATTAAGTAACAATGTGAACGCACCAAATCGGTTGTTCCATAAAATGGGGGTTTTCATAGGTACGTAACAACGAAATTTAACAATACAATACAATACTTTTTAAGTAACAATCAAAACAAACATTGTAGGTAACGATACAATACAATACAATGGGTAACAATGATCCAAACAAAGTGTAAATCATACAAAAATAACTTTATTATTGCACTAATATTCTTTTTCACATGTTAAATTATGTTGATGGTGTTAAATAAATTTACATTATTAAATACGGAAACGAAAATGATATGATTTCTTCACTTTTGTTATTTTCTTGAGTTGAGGTTTATCAAAACAACTTTCTATCTCTGAAGGTAAAAATAAAATTGCTATACACATCAACCTCTTCAGACTCGTTTGTGAAATTACACAGTACAAATATTATTGTTGAAGTTACATCATATGATCAATGGCATATACAAAGAGCAAAATATATAGTCTCATAGATAATGAAGTATTTTGGTCTTCTTCTCACAAAGCAAATTCAAACTTTATTACACTTCAAAAAGCAACATAAATTTTCAACTTTATGAACATGTTACAACTCAAAATAAACTTTGTTCATAAAATTAAAGAGAGAAAACAATGCACAAGTTATATAAATCCAGTACTACCTTAGAGTTGGAGGTGGAGGAGATGAGAGGAGAAGTACATGAGGAATGGCCATGTATCTAAAGAAGAAGCCGCGAAAGCGAAGAACGGTATTTAAATTACATATTGACGTGGTCTCATAGTGTAAAAATTCTAATGACTCCACGAACGAGTTCAAGCTTCGAATTGGTGGTAAGAATAGCGTTAGTGGAGCTGCCATAAAGGCTGCCGCTAACAACATCTGTATCATTTTATAGAAATGATATGATTTATGATACTGGATCTAGATTATAAAATTGAAATGATCGAAGAATTTTGAATCTCGATAAAAGAACCAGAAAAGATGCTAGTATAACGTATTTTTTCGGTTTGGATTCGAAAAAAATGGTTTATTTTAGGTTATAGCTTATGTGGTTTTTATATAGAAAAATTAAAGAGAGCAAGGTTCATGGTGAGGATTGGTTTAATTGAAAACAAACGTATTGGCCGGTACTTTTTGGAATATTCGTTAATAAAGTTTAGTTATAAGAAATAAGATGCCAATTGAAATTTAATTAATACAATACGATTTAATATTATCAGATAAACCAAATTACAACTTGAAATGGACTCAAATATGTATGAAAATATAATTTATTACATATGGCTTTTGAGTTTTTTAAAGGTTTCTTATAGGAAATGTTATTGGTTATGAGTTATGACCTATGTCAAAAAAATTAAAGGGTCAATTATTACATTATTAAATGTATATTTTAGATAATTTGGGTATGATGTGTGATAATTAGGTATTGGATCGTGAATCTAATTTAATCTGATCATGACAAAATTTGTAATGGGAGATCTATCAGAATTTTATTAATTGCAGTTAAATTCTTCTCTAGTCCTTATATAAATATCAGTCGGAGTGATAGTTATATATCTCATTGTGTTGCCATGCCGTGAAATAGCGATAGAGAGGAAGACCTAGTCATTCATCAATTGGAGTGATCATGGATCAGATAAGTACACAATTAACCTTGCTAATCTACATTATTTTTGTGTCCTAGTATCGCGTTTGATCTTGATTAAGTTCGGTCATATTTACTTTTTTTAAATAACCGAACCTAAAAGCAAATATCAAATATCGAACGAAAAAATCGAAACGAAAAACCCAACATTATAATTGGGTGACTTTCTCTCAGTTTGGCTTTCTCATTTGCTAATATATCCACATAGGAAATGTCGAGGAAATTATGTTGTTACTACTATTTAAGTCAAATTAATTTAGGACTAATAAGTTATTGAGTTGAATTTTAGGATACTTCTGGGAAAATGCTTTTATTTATAACTAAATACTATAACACTTGCTATTTTTATAATATATGGTCCAATTCTATGAATTTTCTTGCCAATAATATAATACCAAAGAAAATTCAGAAATGTTCAAATAATCTTAAGGTCATTTCGTGGCATTTTTGTGTAAAAGAAATCATGGAGATTCAAAGCCACTTAATACCAATACACCACTTCCTTTTAACATAAAGGCATATATTTATTAAAATTTATGAACAATTATTTTATTTTTTAAAAAAAACATTAGGATAGGACTATAGGTCATTTGGACTTTTGTCTCTATTTTGGGCTGATTTTCAATTTATGTCTCTCATAACAAATAATGTTTTTGCAAGGCACAAGTTTATATTTTCAAATTATAATATTACATAAGTTATGTCAGGTCGTAACTTTATTTTCTAAAGAAGTTATGCCCTCTCCAGACATAAATTTATTTATTAAAGGGAAAAAATTAAAGATCAATTCATTTGAAGGGCAAACGTACAATTTTACTAGGACTACATGTCAAATCGAATTGTTCGGGTTTGGGCTGGTTTCAATGGCCCAAGTTCACATGATGTATACAAGATTCAGGTAGAGAATTATTCAATTAATCTTGATGTTATATTTGATTTTGTATTTACACAAGTATGTAATCTTTATACGTTTATGCAATTTCATTGAAAGTGCACTTGGCTTGGGATATAGCTTAGTTGGTAGAGCTCCGCTCTAGCAATTGGGTCATTGCGATTACAAGTTGGATGTCTAATTGTCCAGGCGGTAATGATAGTATCTTGTACCAGAATTCATAGGAAATATCGAGTACATTAAAATTAGTAGGATCAAAGTTATATATTTGACCGCTCAACCAAAAATATTAGAGTCTTTCATTGAAATTAATAGGGGTACCATCTCAACTAATGCCAACCCCACCACTCATCACACACACATAGGGGTCTAGAGAGGATGGTATATATGCAAGCCTTATCCCTATCGATAGAAAGGTTATTTCCGATACACCTTGGCTCAAGTAAAGCAGATATGAAAAGGAAATACATCCAAGAAACCCAAGTCCAACTTATGGGACTTTGACAGTTGACACCACAACTTAAATTCCCATGAGTAAGCAAGAATCCACCATTATTCTTTATCTACATATATCACCATACTATTGGAAACACACAGAAAGATAACTAGATAAGGCTATTTAAGGATGGAATACTAATTCTCATAAATTTGAGTATCTTGCATCAGAAACCACTCAAATGGTCTTTATTTCTTTCCATCAGAAAACTTACTACCACTAAATTTATTCCAAAAGCCAACACATCATAGAAATAGATTGAAAAATCAAAAGAGATATCAAATCTCAAATGAAGGTAACTTCACGTCAAAGATCATCAATTGATAGTACAATGAAACAAGGTACAAGCTTATCTTCATGTCAAGAAAAGTAAGAATCAAATTCAAATAGAAAACAAAAAAAAAGGTCAATATTCTTCCAAATTCAGGACCTCCTTGCTCTGCTTGTTGTTTCTCGGTTTGCACGGTTGTCTTGCTCCCAAGAAAACATGTCAAGAAAAGTAGAATAAAATGCAGTTACTATTTACCAGAACCTTACTTTTGAGGATGTCAAGGATCAGTAAAATGAAGAATTAGAATATTTCTTTCTAATGGTGGTGTCCGAGCCAACTTGAGAACACCTCGACTAATTCTACAGGTACCCACCAAGGCTTGGGTAGATAGAAGAAATCAATTAGTGTTTTTTGTCTCCATCCATGCACTCAATTGATCAATCTGGGAATGGGACGTAGAGCCTTCACCAAGATCTGCACCAGCACCTGTTAGTTCGGGTTCAGAGACATGACGAACACATTTATCCTTCATCATTTCTGGTGGTGATTCTTTGACAAGAGATTGTATCCATGACAGATCAGGCTCTTTTCCATTGTTAGCAAGCTTAAATGATGATGATTGCCTTAGCCTACCCAACTCCTCAGTATTGACAGCCCAGTCTGGCTTTCCCGTATCTGTACCCCACTTTGACCAAGTATCAGCTGGTGACCCTACAATAGCAGAAACATTGGAGCCAAGATCACGAGAGCTGAGACTTCTAAATTGCTGCTGCCTGTCACGTTGCGCTAATATTGACACACGGGAATTTCTTGGTGAGATTGGCTCCATTGCTCGGGGAGACATCCTCCCTGATGATGGAACTCCAAATGAGGCCTGTAATAGAGGATTATCAATGTTTCTTGGCGAGAAATTCATATTAATGGGAGATAACAGGCTCTGTTGCTGCTGCTGAAATGGACTGCAAACTGCAGAATTGTGGGTAGGGGAAAAAACAGATTGAGCTACTGTTCGATCAGAAAATCTAGGAGATGAGCTCTCTGCAGGAAAATAATCCTCAAGATTTGCACGGGTAAAGGTCATAGGACGAGCTGAATGGTTCAAAGAATCAGAACTCATGCTGCTACGCTGGGATAGGCAGGAAAACTCATTTAGGAGCTGCTGTCGTTGCACATCAAAATCTGGATATGTAGTCAGGTCTGCAGCTGGTATACCTCTAGCATTGAGCGATGACCGTAAGCGACTCGAATGAACAAAGCTGCCAGGAAGATGCAAGGGTGGGGCGTTTTGTTGGGCCCAACCCATGCTTGAAATTCCATTAGCAGAAGGTGATATTGGAGGTGTGAAAGGTGATGGTGATATGACAGAGACTGAGGAAGGAGAACCTGGTATTAGGCCCATGGCTGCAGCATAATCCATAGCATTGGCAGCAGCAGAATTCCCACAAGGTGAGGGAACAGCAGAACCAGTAGAGACATAAAGTGGTCTTAGATCCTCCTGCTTGTGGGCAAAGAAGCAAACTCTTCTGTTACAATCTATACCATCTTTGCAAAGCCGAGTTCGATATTGTGCAGGGTGCAGCCAACACTCAAAGACCCCATGAGCGTATTCACACATGTCCCCACGTTGGCAAGCTCCCTTGCGGAACTCAGGGCAAGGTACACAACTGTAGTGGTATTTTCTTGGATCCCTTCTTCGAGCATTTTCGCCTGGATGGAGAAATGGACATTCAGTCCAATCATGCGAGTATGCACGAGAGCAAGGTCTGATCTTAAATGAGAACATCCTGAATTCATCTGAAGAATATATGTCATTTTTTATGTCAGGCAAGGAGGGGTCAACAGGGTATTCTTTCTTTTCTGGTATAGAATATGCTGGGAGGTCACTGGACTTTGCACTCTTTGGGGAAAATGTTGAGTCTGAAACAGAAGATGGTGATCTATTTCCAGGAGAAGGCGAACGTGGAGGAGAAGAGCTTGAAGTGGACACTGACACCCGCAGCTTGCAGTCCCCAATTGTACTAGTCATCAGAAGGCTTTCTAGGCATGATTTAACCAGGTGAAAGCTAGGAGATACAACTATAACATCAATAGGGTAGTGACCATTGATATCTTTAGAGTGTGGGTCAGCACCGGCTCCTAAGAGAAGTTTGACAGCTTCTGCAGCATTCAGAGATCCACCAGAGGCAGCACAGTGAAGGGCAGTGCTCTTATCATGGCCACAAGAACGATTCACATCAACTTCAGGTAGAGATAGAATCTGCTTTAGAGCATCAATACTTCCATACGTAGCAGCAACCATCAAAGGAGTTCTATGATCAAGAACCATTTGCTTTGAGCCCTTTTGGCGCCCATACCACAGTCCAACCTCATGAATACTAGCTAGGTCACGCTCAATCCATATTTTGAAGGCCTCTATATCATTGTTGGCAGCAAGTTCAAGCAAGCTGGCAAAGGTATCTTCAGTTTCAATAGTCGGATTACTCATAGTCATGTTGGTGGACTAACAGATACCAAAGTAGTTGGTTACAATCTGGGTTTTAAGAGCTGCAATAGGAAGCATATTTTGTAAGCTGTTAGATATCATGTATTTATCTATTTATTGTGGATATATGATTAGACCATACGCGTTGTGTGTAGCCAAGTACTATCGTCAAACATAGACACGACTTACAGAGCTCTAACAACTAGGTGAAATGCTATAGATTCATAAACAGTAATAAAATTCCAAAGAATTCTAATAAGGAGAATAAGGAACTATGCCCCCTAAGGTTGGTGAGAAGACAGCAAAAGAATTGAGCTTGAATGCCTACTTATGACTTCCAAGACAACAGAAAAGGCACATATCACATAAAAAAGAAAAGAGAAGAATCTGCCTTTGTAACCAAGTGAGAAATTTACATAGTACTACTTTTCTGAATTGAAAATATCATCGTCAAAAAATAAAGGGAAAATTCCACTATTTCAGGCTCAAAAGAGTTCTCCTTTTGAACTTCATTTTCTTGAAATCTAATGGAACCATTCAAACATTGGGAAAAAGATGTTAAAACAAAACAAAAAAGACTTACCGTTAGTACAATAGAAATATAACAATACTAACGATCAAAGATCTTTTCAATAAGAAATGAAAGAAAATGGCCAAAGATGAGAACCAGAGAATTTTTTTTGAAATACCACATAGAGGAAGGGGGTCTTCTTTGACGTCATCATTCATTTATGGAAAGATTAACTTTACCAGAGGTTAGATATTTTGAAAGCTGTTAGATTTTTTAAAGTTTTTCTTCGGAATGAATTAGACAGTATGCACTGTGTGTACATCCAAGTACTCCCTCCATTACATATTACTTGGCCTCTATACCAAAAACGGACGTTTCATTTTACTTGTCCAACTTAGAAAGTCAAGAGAGTTTTATTACATTTTCCTTTCTACCCATAGTAGGAGTATTAAGTATCTACACTCCCAACTTATTGAAGTCACAATTTTAGATTTTCAGAGCCTATTAAGTACACGGGTAGCTTCACCGACCCTCTTCTTTACACCTATTAAGACTTCCAAGCCTAGTTGGCACCAAATACCATGTTAAATCATTGTTATGTTCATTGAATTTTTAAAATCATATAAGGTTAAGAAAAATACACCTCTAATTTAAAGCTTTCTTAAAGAGTGTGCTAGGTCAAACGCGGGCCAAGTAATATAAAACGGAGGGAGTACTATCTTCAAAACATAGACACAACTTGTTAGAGCTCTAACAACAAAATGAAATGCTAGAGATTCATAAACAGTAATAATCTTCCCATTAATTAATTCTAATAAGGAGAAAAGGAACTAAGCCCCTTAGGGTTCGCAAGAAGACAATAAAAGGATTGAGCTTCAAGCCTAATTTCTGACTCTTAAGACAACAGAAAAGGCACACATCACATTAAAAACAGAAGAATCTGTTCCTAGTAAACAATTGACAAATTCACATAACTACAACTTCTCTGAATTGAAAATATCATTTTCACTATTTCAAAGTCAGACTTTTTACTTTCCCTTTCCCTTTCCTTTCATCTTCTAGGTAACCTAATGGGACCATTCATACCATAGAAAAATTGGGATCTTTGCACAAATAGCTACCCAAATTCGCTATTTACTTTTCATAGCAGATATATATAAATTATACATATATCATACATCCTCCCGCTATTTTTAGTTGAAACTTCGGAGTGAGCGACTATTTAGGTTAATTCTTCCATCACAAGTAAAGGAAAACTTACCCACTAAGTACAGATATAGCAAAAAAGGTCAAAAGGGGTAGAACATCGACCAAAAACCCCCCCAAAAAACCCAAAAATAAAAATCAATCTTGAAGAATTTACAAGCATACCAATTTATCCATCTATGTTTTTAGTTAAAATCCAAAAAAGGGCAAACCAGATTGAAGAACATCCAAGCAAAAACAAAACTGACCCATCAAAAAGCATTTCAAACTAAAGCAGTCCTAATTTTACAATGAAATTGAAACATATCTAAAATTAAAGTGAAAAATCAGTTCTTTCTCACCAAATTCTGAGCAAAAAGCAAAGTGTTTAGCACCATCAACAGCTCCTCTCCACCATTTCTACATATAGCTATGGCTCCGTATGTATATAGAGAGAGAAAGTGATACTTTTTCTACAAGAAGAGAGAGAAAATTATGATAACACAAAGAACTTCTCTTCTCCCTTTTTTAGTACTTCGCCATTTTCTATGCGCGCTCTCTTTCAGTAATGCGGAGACTTATTTTTTTGTAAGATATAGTATATTTTTTACTGTTTAAATTATCTGTCGTGTTTCATTTTATGCTAATTTTTGTATATATAATTTTTATTATTGTATTTATAATCTTTAAATAAAGATAAGATGGAAATTATAATTTTATCACTAAAAATTTATGACAAATAATCTAAAATATTTGTGTACTTAAAAGATAACTTGACTTTTCATCTCAAGTCTTAACGGTAGAAGGTAGAGAGTTCATCGGGTGTGAGCAAGTCCTTAATCTCATATTATGAGTGCTAGTTTTGTCATTTTAATAACTTTTAATATAAATATAGTGTTTAGATTAAAATTATAGAATTACGTTAAATTTATACGTCGATTTCTAATTTCGACCTAAACGTTATGTTAAAAAGATAAAGTTGTCATTCTCAACAAGGCTCTCATTTTGTGGGTTTTGGTCCTTTTGGCTCTTTGTTATGGCTAATGAGTGATTAGGAACGGCTAAAGCATATTATTGATATTTCAGATATTGCGGATTTCTCCTAATAATTTTTCTCTTTAATGAAAAATCAAAAAATTATATTTTTTAAGGCACTTGCATTTTTTTTATGTCAACCTTGTAGAAATGACAGTGTGTGTGACATTTGTGGATGAGTTTTTCGAAATTGTTTATCATGGACATTATTTGTTTATCATTATCTCACGTTAATAGTATTTCTTAAATTTATTTTTTATTCTATCCATTCTTAAACAATTGTCCTTGTTGAGTTAGCACTTTCACCTCCATTACTCCAAAAATATTATACATGCCTAATATACTTTCTTGACCAATCATATCGTTTTCGATGTGATTTATATGTTACGAATTTAAACCGTAAAATCAGTCATTAATACTTGCAATTAGGATGGACTGACTATATCATATCTTCTTCGGTTGTCTTTAGCAGGCGGTCACGGGTCTTAACGCACTCTTCGCACAATAAATCCACTTTAAAATTGACTAATTTGCTCGATTAATTATCCAAATGTGTATCGTGTACAAGATATCATAAGCGCTCAATATCTCAATATATAACATCTTTGTCAAAACTTTGAAGTAAGTCTCAACTCTCATATCGAAACATAGAAACGATCTGATTAGCATAAACCTAATATGATTCAACCTTTTCGAATATAACGAGATTTTTGTGTCTTTTTCAAGAAAAAAAATTAGGAACGTCATGTACTAGAATATCATAATATCTCCTAATATATTATACTAAGTAGTATATATTATTTTAGAATATCTGCTAACTAATATATTACTAATTAAAGATACAAGTATTAAAGATTATCATGCTAATTAAAGTGCTTTCATCACTTCAATTATGTACCTTCATCTCCTTCAATAGGCAGATTAATTACGACCATGATTATTATAAATGAACAATCATAATCAATTAAACCCTTAATTACAGCTTGCTTAATTACATACAAAAATTTCAAATTAATTGCGTATATTGTAATCTAATTAAAAACTGCACCAAAATCTGGAAATCCACAAAATATATGATTTAATTTTAACTAAGAAAAAATTCCCACACATTGTACATTATTAATTGACTATAGTTGAAAATTGAACAAATTGACTATGTTGTACTCAAATCTATCAATTTCCACTATATATCCAAATTTTATTTTTTTGTTGAAACCATGAAAATCCACAATTGTTACTCTTCGAAGGGGAACGAGTAAATCTGTTCATGTGCAATACCCCTCAAATCACACATGAAGTCATGAAATGTAAATGACACTAGACAAATATGATGCGATGAACTCGATTGAGAAGGTGTTGACATGAGTAATTGATATCTGACCTCCTTTATAGGATACCACCAGTTACCACATCAACATAAGTACATAACCACCCTTACGAATTTTTCATATGGAATACCACTTACTGCACCGACTCAACTATTTTTACGGGTTTAAATATATATTTTGTTGGTTGTTTTATTTATGTATTTATTTGGTTGTCTGTTCAAAGAGATTTGTAACGTCCCTATCTTTTAAATGGCAGGTATAGGAGAAAAGTTTTAATATTGCTTTCACTTGGGTAAAAAAACTTTATAAAATATTTGAAAAGTTTTAATATTGCTTCCACTGGGTAAAAACCTTTATGGAATATTTTCTTTTCTAAATTTAGTTCTATGTAGTCAAATAGTAATTTAAATATATTTCCCAAATTTTCTCCACTTATAAATGGCACATTTTAGAGGAATACATTATGCTATATGACAGATTTGGATTCAGAATTAATTATTAACTCTCACGGATTTGTGTGAGCTTATTCAAATTGTCGATCTTAAACTCGAATTAAGGAGGAGAATTGTCGAGGATCAGTCAAAAAACAATTTTTCTATCCGAAAAAATAGAGGTAAGACTGTGTATATGCATTTGGTCGTCCCTAAAACTCACTTATGAAATTACAGTGAATATGTTATAGTTATTGAGTATTATTATAGAGCGACAAGAAAAATGATCTTAATATGTTTAATCAGTAGATTAAATAAACAAAATTGTCTAGCCATAAGTATATAATCAATATACATACTAATTATATAATATTATACTCGCTTAAATATATTTTTTGAGAAATAATTATTTCGTATTTGTTATGAAACTTTTCATTATTATTGAATAGTGTAAATTAAATCCAAGAAAATAAAAATGGAGTGACAGGCATAACATGAAGGACTTCTGATCAAGTTCAGTAATTGCTAATTAATTGGACCACATTGGCCAATAAATGAGCAATATTTAAGAGGCATTTGAATTTCAAAATTACTCATATTTGTAGAATAAAAGTTATTTTTATTATCGATCGTGTGCCTATAGAAGAATGAATCGACAATTCATAGTAGTGATTAGATTAAAGACTACTTGTAACAAAGATTACAACTTATAAATTAAAATTAGTTGATTTTTTTAATGACAGTAATAAATTAAGATAATAATTGAATTTACATGAGATCCACTCCTATTTGTTTTGTTTCATAGATGACTAAAAAATAATGACATAAATGGCATTTTGTTGAACGATATTAACATAAATGAGCTCAATTTTTAATAGATGATATAAATATATCTTTTCTTAAAGTTTGATGACATATTTAAACCTTTTCTCGAGGCAAAATTGCAAAATTTATGATATTTGAGAAACAAGATAACGAGGCTAAAAGCCCATCTTCTGAGTATATCCATGATTACAACCATTGATGGGCTTAGGGACCATTCGTACTATAAAATGAAGCTATTCAAGTCATATTTAGACCCAAACAAAGGCGGATCTTAAGGATAGCCAGGGTTTCCCCTGAACTTTTAACTTAGAAATCGAAAATGCATGACATGCACATATAGTTTAAGCAGCAATACTTACTAATTTAACTCTGAAGGAGAATTAATCATCTTAAAAACACAACCAAAATTTTCATAACATAGTAATCGAAAATGCATGACATATATATGTACATATAATTTGAGGAACACTTACTAATTTAAGAAGGGGGGAATTAATCCTCTTCAGTTAAAAAGATCATTTGAACTTTTGACAATATTATTTTTCCTAAATGCATAAACATAAAAGACTTCGACCTTAGTAGGAGAAAAAATTAACGTATCATCTAATAATCTTCTTCTTTTTGACACACATGAATTAGTTGCACCTACCGGCCTTCTCTTTTTCGGAGCCGGTGGACACAATGAATTCTCCGGTATCCGAAATCTCTTCCCCTTAGGCGTCATGCACGAATATTCATGCACCACTTCTTGTTTCACAACTTCCTCCGTATTTAAGACGAGCATCTTTATCTGATCAAGAAGTTAGAGCACTAGGATTTTGGTTTCCGAAAATTTTGGAGGTGACTGTAATGAACAAAAATCTCATTTAGTACGAATTTATTCTTCTTTCATGTTGTCCCTTTTATCCAAGAAAATAGTTGAAAATTGGAAAGTGAGTTTTTGCTAATGTAAGCAATGAAAATACAACAAAAACTAAGTACAATTAGTAGAAAACAAAATAGCAACTGCTACGATGAAATTTTGCATGCCAATTTTTTTCTTTTCTAATTTGCTTACTAATCATGATAAGAACAAAATATTTAAATACTAAAAAAATATATAGATAACAAAATGTCATAATAAATAAATGAGAGTGCAATCTCACTTGTAGATTAGGTGTATAATTAATCCCTCCTTGTTAGGTATGGACTACATAATTTGAACTAATTTGTATAATAGGGGTGGACTAGAGAAGTACGTAGGTTGTCTTGATTTTTTTCGATTCTGCTTGTTTCATGGGCAAAATTTCACGTTGAATTACTTTTGACTTTTAACTTAAATGTTTACCTATAAAACAAATGAGAGTCGGAAGTTCAGAATCATCGTATAATTTCCGAGTAATGACATAGGTACATCAATATCTTGGGCCTCTCATGCTACTAAATAACATACCATAGGCCTCAAGAGTCAAGGTGAGCTGCCCTGTGCCTAATTTGGGCTTATCTCAAACAACAATATATATATCAATTACCATAGTGAGCTTGATTATTAAAAAAGATAGTGAATCTTTGTATTAGCTAAGTTCACGAGTTAGAGATACGCGGACTCAAATTGCTAACATCCACCGCAGGGTAAACCACTACCTCTCACGTCCAATTTCGAAGGTTCAGATTTAATCTAGTCATTAGGAGTTATTGAAATTGAGAAGCAAAAACAGGTTGGTACCTAATTTTTATGCAAATTTTAGTGATATATTCGTAAAAACTTATGAACGTCTAAAGTTACAATACACTTTATCGTTAAGACTTGTGACAAGACCTATTGATTAAAAACTTTAGTAATCTATTAAAAATATAATTTGTTAGTTGTGTGACAATTGGATAGTTGGAACTACCATCTTTTTCTTTTTGTGATATTTGAACTCAAATACAATTAGTAGAAA